GCGATGGGCGACGGCAGATATGGAATTCCATAAAATCGCGATAGGGACAGTTTTTCCACCACAACGCAGTTATGAATTAACAGACAAAAGAAATTGCTCCTTACACGTATACCGACACCTGCGCACTTACAACTCGAAAACTGGAAATGCCCCGTGTTGCTGATCTACACAACTTGCACGGTACTGTCTGGATTGATAGATTTTCCATGCGTTCTCTCGTTTAACTTTTGTGACAGGCAACGGGAGGCACGAGGATCTGGGCGATGTCTTTATGACATTGATTTTTAAAACACCTGGTTGTTTTATCTTCAAGAGTCCTCTGAGAGGAACAAGACTGTCAGAATTGGCAAAGGGAAATCCCGAGAGGAGGAATTTCTTCGATTTTTTTTCGAACATGTAGGGAGGACCTTCGCCACAAGCAGAGAACGAGGAAAGTAAAACTTCACCTTTAGGCCGATGGTATATGGACATATCGTGTTCGCGCTGCGATTTCGCAATGCAACCGTGGAAACTGAGCTAACTTGAGCATTAAATTGCACCTTTACATAACGGTATAGACCTTTTCCCAGTGATGTCACGATCGTGCAGGACCTCTGATGTGTTGTGATGGTATTGAGTGCATAGTGTTGTAATGGTGATCTACTTATTCAAGATAAAGTAGTGCAGAATTTGCACGCGCTCTTGCGTGGCCAAGGCGGTCCACACGTACGTGGTGGTATTGTTTACATTTAGTCACGTGAGCGAAATAGGACTATAGAGTAGGGGAAGGCAGGGCCACTAGACTTCAGCCCAGTCTTGATTCGGAACAAATTGTAACTTGATAATCCCGGAAGAGGATAGATCTACTCTTAAAACATGACCAAAACACTCGTTTGTTTATTTCAAACAGCTGAAATCAATTACGTTAATAAAACTTATCAATATTAACTCATTAAAAATTCATGCAAAAGTGGACCACTAGCCCCACACCAGGGGCAAGTGGACCACATCATAAAACCTTAAAACTTGCCACCAAACGAGTACGAAATGAATGTTGGAATGAGTAAATTGATAATAAAACACTAATCGTAATTATCCGAGAGGTACTAGAGTTCGATTAAAAAAATTAATCAGAAAATTCCTCTACGTTTCCTCCAGTCAGGTAATGTCTGGTTTTTGGAATGTTAAGCCTAGTACGGAGTTGCTTGGTTTGGGTATTTTTGTTATCCTAAATCATTTCATGAAGTTCATTTTTGAAGTTTATTTATTTTTTCACTTGGGCCTCAATTTTTGTTCAGCTGAATCTCTGAAAAAATAAATATAGTTGTTTAAACGCAACCGGTCAATTTCATAACCTTTCAATTTAATTTGGTCTATGAGTGGGCCAGTTACCCCGATGACCCACTTGCCCCACCCTCCCCTATTGTATTGCTCTGTAGCAAAAAAAGAGCATACTGTGAGACGTGTCCTTAAAATGATGTGGCTTGGAGTCTAAAAGATGCAGTATAAGATCTAACTTTTTTATTGGGGGGGGACCAATACTACCCAATAATAAAAAAAGAAATTTACAGTTTCCAAGCAAGAGCGAAATCGCAGAACGGCTGGAAATTTTGGGGGGACAAAGAATTTGCTTTGTTGCCTGTTTTCAAGCACGATTGTTATGACGTATTAAACTACTTACTTCGTCATTGGCAACACGCATTAGAAACTGGACAGGTCGAATTTATGGTTGAGGATATGCTCAGTATTAGTAGAAAACTTCCGTCTTGCTTGTTCGTCTTTGTGAATACTTGTACGATTGGCTGACGCATCAATTCAATGAAAATGCCATGTTTGAAATGCGGCTGTTATTTCTTGTTTGTTAATTTTTCTGTTATATTGCTCATGCCTATTTGTCTATCCGTTTGGCTATAGCAGCAACATCAGACTGTGTACCATTCAGAGGGGAATGTCTCTACATATGCTCCGATCCGTCCAAGTGGTTGGATGCCAATGTGGCTTGCCAACGTATGCACAATGGTTCGCGCCTTGTGACAGTAGTCGATCAAGACATGAATGTAAGGACCGAGAATTTTTTTTTAATTTGTTATGGAATCTCCGAAACCCCTTCACGCTCACTTTCGAGAACATTGCCTGGCCGTACACCTAGTGTATTTTAGAGACATTTCAGACGGAAGACATAAAAACGAAAGCATACAAACAAATAATAAACAGAAACATTTGCAGCGTCGTCCAAAAATAGTTGAGACTGATCTCTGGAGACTATGATTGGGAAATCCAGTTTCAGAGTTCGTCGACATTGTGTTTATTTCTTTCCTTGAACAATTTTAACTCTGAGTGTTTTTTAAACGACTGAACTGTTTACACTCGATACTTACATCTTTAACAATTAATATTGATTAAAAGAATGTGACTTGTCAAGTTTATTTTCCCGTTAAGTCTGATGGCACAGTTGCCCCTGCTGCCAAATCTAAGTCTGATGGCACAGTTGTCCCTGCTATCCCCTAACTAAGTCATGCATCCCAACTTCAGTCACTGTCCTGGTCAACGGAAGGTGTTGTTGTTTTCTTGTTTTGTTTTATACTGGTTTGTTTTTATGGAACACCACCTCGCCACGAGAGGAGGGAAGTTAGGAATTGTTATTTGTCAGATAATTGCTATTTACATCTTCGATTTCAGGTTGTTTGTTGTTCGAGTTGAGCCTTCGTCTTCTTTTGTTCTGCTTCTTTATTTGTTTCTATGTTTTGTGGTTGTGACACAAGTAATTTGGGATTTTCCTAATTTATTTTTTTCCTCCCTTATGTTAGGATTTCATCGCACGGGAAATCACAAGGGACGTGTGGATCGGCCTGCATGACACCCACAATGAGAGCAACTGGAAATGGGTGGATGACACTCCCTTCGACTACACGTTAGTATATAATTTACAAACAGAGTAGCACTCTTTGGGTGCAGTCCCGTAAGAAGATCAAAAATCGCCTACGCCGGTCGAATCACAGTTTGCATACCCTCAAATTCTCTCTTATTTATAGAGCGTTTTAGGGCCCATGAACTTGACGGGTTCGAACAACAAGAAAAAATGTGGACTCTACCCACAGGAACACCAGCTTGTATCTGCATGAGGTTTGAATGAAATCAGTGCCATGAAAATGCTGCATTTCGCAATGTAGTGTAGGAATCATTTTTTAAAATTTCGACGGGCTTCAAGACTATGGGACCACCAAGATCATTAGATTACTTATTAAAAATTGAACAGATGGTGAACTAAGCTCTGATTTGTGAGTGTTCTAGACACCTGAGAAAGTTGTGATCTTTTTTCTGATGTCTTAGGGGTGGATTTCTTATTTTTGTCAGTGAGTTTGCAACATATTGGTTTCATGAAAACTTCTATGGCCAGACTGGCAATGCTCTAGTTATGTGCACGCAGAATTCTCTTATGAAAATCAGTTAATGTACATGTACTTGGGTTTATTTAACTGAACACGAGTTTGGCCCGAGCACTGAGTATGTTTTCCTGTTGAATTTGTTTTCTTTCTACAAGTGGTTTATTTCCTGCTTGACTTTTCCTGTGCCACAACGTGTGTCCTCTAGGTTTACCGGGGAAAAACGCCCTTTTGGTGGTCTATGGTGAAAGGGTCATCACACAACAGTACTCAGTTTTCCTGCTTCGCTACAAATTAGAATTCCATGTATCCAGGGGCGGTGATAACGGCTTCTCTCTCAACCTCGTTCTCGTGTGTGAGCACAGAGCGTACCCGCGGCTACCTACTGTCTCAGAGTTGTTAAATCATTTACATGTCCAAACATTGTGCGTTATTATTGCCTGCAGCCTAGGGGTCCATGGTGTTTTGTACACCTGATGGGGCAAAAGGCACCCGGGGCGAAGCCGAGGGCATTTTTGCCCTCAAGGGTGTACAAAACCCATAGACCCCGTCACAATAGGCAACAAGGCTTTGTGGCAGATTTTACGAATATAATGGACTGAAGTGAAATACATTTACTGTATCACAATGCATTTCATTTCAATGAAAATGTCTTCACCAACAAAGTGTTTAGTTAAAGGAACCAGGAAATGAATTTTTCTTAGAATCACCTTTTGTGTATGTCTGTACTCTTCTTCCATATATGAAGACTGTTTGTCATCTTGTTTGAGTTTCGTGAACTGAACGGTGGACTCTTTCAAACATTAAAAATTGACCAAGAATTTCTGGACAAGTGAGGGCGCTTTTGCTCTGATGTAAATCCACGAAGATATGGTTCAGATTCCATGTTTTCATGTTCAAATTGTGAATCCCAAGTTTGCTATCTGGGAACATTTCTGCGGAAAGGATTTTTGCTGGATTATTGCCACATACTCACACAGCAATAAACTGCCAAAGAAAATAAAATCTGCCATAGCAGTGGTTAAAAAAATCTAGAAATTGTCCGTGCACAAATCAGTAACATTGAGATTCAGTGCCTTGGATGACATCATAGTTCTGCTCATGAATATGCAAATATGCAAAAATTTAAAATCAGGGTAATTGAAACCGAAAGATGCAATTTCAAGGGTTTTTAGCCAAATTTATAAAATATTTATATGTCCTGGTTCCTTCAACCAAATTCATATGAATTGAATAACTGGTTGTACCATCTCTTGCCTCAACATTTTCTCAGGAAATTTTCCAGATGGTTATCCAATTCTATCGTGGGTTATATCGAAAACTGAAGGGTCTCCCGTGTCATACCTGTGGCTATGTAGATATCGGAACTTTTGTATTCGCACACATACAGATTGGATGGATCTTTGGATCTTTCTACTATCTTATGCTGTCCTGCACAAAAACCAAATTCTGATGTCAATTTTGGAACGAGAGAAATTCTTTGTTCAAAAATCAACCTGCTGTTACCTGTCGATAGATTATTATGGAACGAATGATGCATACAAGAATGGCGGTCGTAGCATAGAATAGCGCTATACTCAATCCCCTCTGCATCATGCAGCACAGTTGTACGGCCTCGTACTCAAGGGCACGCAAATATAACGCGGTGGAAACGACACTTTAACAGTGGCAATTATCGAGGCAGTGTACACCATGGCGTACATATCTGATGTACCACGGAAACAACGCTCACGTTCTCATGATCCGGTGTACATGGGTATATGTGCCACACCATGCGATCGATTCTTGACCGATAAAAAGTCCCAAACTATATTACCGCGGTTTAACTAATGTTTGTTAGTGATGAATAGCCCGGTACTGACCGTGCTTCGAATCAGTGTTCGTTTTAGTAATAAGCAGTGGGCCCTATGTAGTATATAAAAGAGTCAATTCTCTGTAGCGTGACGTATTGAGAAAACGATATTTGTAAACCAAATACTAAAATTCCATCCAGCAATTATTTTGTATGAATCGAAATGGAAATAGGAGTGTTTATAAGGAAATGTGACCGTACTAATTCAGAGGAAACACGTAGGCCCTGAAAAAAACGCAAGGATCAAGGAACTGCAGAAAAACAAGTATCCTATTCAGCTACTCAGGGTTGCTGTTAGGAGCCGAGCGGGAAATACAGTAACAATGGGGACGAGGCTGGCTTATCACAAAATACTGAGAAGGAAACGAAAAGCATTATTGCTGGCTCACCTCCATGATTCATGTCCTGAGTTTCCATTCACAACTTTGCAGCCATTTCCCATTTCCAGCCGTTGTCTCTGGATATCTTTCAGGACACCCACAGACAAAATCTTATCAAAATTTGAGCTGCTCTCGCCCTAATTTGTTTGGACTTAAGTAGACACAAATGCGCAAGTATACAAGTTTAAAAAAGTATGTTTCCGGTGCATAAAACTGTTAATTCAGTTCACTGGCTTAGTTTTTTTTCCACTCATTTATACTGGTTGCATAAACGATTGAGGACGAGGGTGCTATTGTTGGGAACCTTTCACAGTCCCGTCTACTAGATTTCCCGTCCACTAGATTCCCCATTCACTCGAGTTTCGCCACTCAGCGTTGCTTTCCGGCTGCGCTTACATCATTGGTTCGGCTATGTTGCTGAAGTCGCAGATAATTTGTATACACACTCCTGTTTGCTACTGGAAAGTTGCTGCCTCATGGAGATGATCGGCTGGTGCCGCGTATTAGTTTAAGGAGGCACAATGAGCAGATGAAATGCAGCTTGAACATAAGTTGAGGACATTTCGAAAGTTTTAAATGGGGGGAGGGGCACGGACGTGGGGGGTTGTCTGCCCCATCCCGTGCCCCCCCCCCGTAGTTCAGCATACAGAGACCAATATCAGTGGTCAGCATGAAACGTACATAGTAATCGGGTCTTCTTCGGGTCTTTCTTTGCAGGAATTTCAATTCAGACAGCGAAGCGGACCATCGAGGCGATGGTGGCGCAGACTCGGCCTTGACTCCAGACCACGCCAAAAACTGCGCCCTTCTACTTAGTAACACAGGGAAATGGAGGGCCACGAATTGTAATTCGTACAATGGCAGGATCTGTGCGCTGCCTCGTGAGTATCACGTAGACTCGTTAGGAAACATATTTTGAACACAATCTCGTAAAAGACCCCCAAATGACAAATCACACAGTCTGTCAGGGCATACAAAAGTACATTTTAATTTGTAACCAACATCAAGCCCTTTACGTTTCTGGCACTCTGTAAACGCCTTCAGACGTGATAAAATGACTTCGTTTTGATGTGAATTTTTGGTCAAGTGGCTTGACACAGACATTAAATAGACTACGATATCGCTAATCTGCGAAATTTGTTTTTGTAAGTACAGTTTTCTCTTTGTACTCGAGAGTACAGTGAACACAAATTTCTAGGGGGTCATTAAAAGCAAACGAACAGCCTTTTAAAATATAAAGTGTTTGTTCATTTTAAGACTCCAAACGGGGCCCTTCAAGACCCGGGGATCATCCAATGGGGCACACGAACGCCCTCCCCCGTAGTCGCTCGATCTAAATTATATTGTTTGTTCTAAATCTAAAGGATGACAGATCGGTTCTTCTGAATGATTGACACTGTTAGTGACAGGCGACTTATAATAGTGTTGTTATATGTCAGTTCATTTCCTGAACATGTTTAACCCCGTGGACTCTAATCCATTTCACTTTCTTCGAATCAAAGAATCGACAGCGGTGACTCTTTGACGATTGCAGTTTTCTGACACGGGCCGATGTTCTCTTTTAGGTGGTGAGCAGTTGTGTCCAGATGGAGGAACTTTTTTCCGTGACCGATGCTACTGGTATAACCAGGTTGGAAACTGGGACAACGCTAACAGAGATTGCGAAGAGCGGTTTGGGAAAGGTGTAAAGCTAGTCATCGTGCGTGACGCGGAGTTAAATGTGAGAATCAATAAGATGTGTAGTCTGCCGGGGGGGGGGGTCGGTATGACACCGTCAGTAAAACACTGTTTCTGTCGGATATTTGAGTTTCATTGCCCCCGCATTACAAAGCATAGCGCCCAGTAACGCAGACGAACAGCTACGGCGGAGTTCCTCACATGTCGTATACGTGATTTTCTTTTAGATTGACAGTTTACATCGATAGCAGACAAACTGTGTGGTTGGTCCATAAACCGCTGCGTTTGGAAACCAGAGCGACTTCTCAAATTTACCGAATTGACGAGTCGATGCTTGCTAACCAATCAGGTGTCTTGTTTAATGTGACGTCTCAGACTTACTGGAAGACTGTTGGAGCAAGAATATGCGTGCCTACAACCTGCCTTTCAATATTCTTGCGTGGCGCCATTGCTATTATGCAAAGCATAATAGCAGTAACATACTTATTTGCATATCGAACAGGCATGAGCATACTTATTGGCATGTCGAACGAGTTCCTGCTTCCTGTATGTTGTAGGTGTACAATATCGTTTTCCGTAGTTTGTTGTAAAATATCGATTCACGATTGACGGCATCGATCTCTTTTCTTATCTTTCTCTTCTCTTTTTGTCTATGAAAACGATTCAAACTTTTCCCCATCGATAGTGGAAATAGACTATTGTCCATTATCGATTGTCAAACTGTGAAAAATTCTCGCTCTGTCATTAAATTATACCCGAACCTCTTAAACAAGCAGATATTAATTAAAACCCTCGGAGCCGCAACTCCAAAAAACGGGGACCTTTTCTCCACGCGGAGAAAATCATCCCCACGTCGGTTCCCGGAGTTTCCTGTCATGCCTGAACCCGAACGACCGTTTTTATGGTAGCCAATACATTTTTCATTTCATTATGCTGCTGTGGAAGTACATTTGTAGCCACGCCCCGAAAATAACTCCGAGCTGCGAAGTGGATGCTGTTTACGACTAGCTCATTTCCCGGTCATGTGGGCGTCTTTGGGATACAGATCTTTCAAAAAGTCTTACTCCTGAGTGGTTAGGGTCAGGCCAATGGTAGTCCACAGGCTTGTCGTGTATGCCTGGGTTAGGATTACATGAAATCTTTGCCAAATTGGCCCATCGAAAAAGTTACGACCATATTTGGTGATATGTGGAGACTTTTATCCTCGTGGGGTCTTGCATCTGACTTGAAGTACTTCAAGGCCAGACTGGAAGCCATTGATCTTGAAGAACTAACCAGAAAAAAACCCATTTCAAAATATAGCCTGCCTGCTGCATAAATGACGCACTGCATGTTTAGAAAACCTCTCCGGATGATTTCATGCAATTAAATTTCTGAAGATTCTGAAGATTCCTCACCCACATTACAACAGGTTTATGAAGTCAGGACTGACGTCTTGACAAGATACTTGTGAGCAATGAATGTAAATTCTTATTTCAGCAACATTTTGTTCAGTGTGAGCAGGTTTGCTGACAAGAATACGTGATAAGCCCGGTAGAAAATGACTCTTATATAAAGGTCCCAAGAGATAACATTTAATGTGTCATCCATCCTCCTTGTTTCTTTTTTAATATAATCCAGGCGTTTTTGTCTCGCCACGTGCATCCCGCAGTATGGCTTGGCCTGCGTTACTACCAACAGAATGATACATGGTACTGGGTAGATGGCAGCCCGCTGGACCCTAACGGGTACGGTAGGCATGGTAACTTATCCCCAAAAGAATGGACTATAAAAATGAGACAGGCATCTTAGGGTTTCTGCAATAGGCGGAGTCTGAACCCCAGGGGATGGGCCCTTATAGTTAAGTGAATGGTTTATAACAATGGCCGCGTCCTGTTTGCAAGTGCGACCTTGCCCTGATAGTTCGCACATCTGAGTCAGTGAAAAACTGGGTTTGCACAATCTGTCACAAATCGTTTTGTTTTTGACAAACATTTTAATTGGTAAAATGTACGCAAATTGCATGGTACTGTTCAATGATGATCACAGAACACTATAATTTAGCGTATTGAAGCGTATGTAGCGTTGTATGGCAGGGCCTTCCACATTTTAGGCCTAAAGGGGACATTTTTTTAATGGAAAGTCGGGACGAGATTTTGGGGAAAAAAGTATTGCCCCGAAACGTTTTTGTTTGAACTCAGCATGGACGTAATTCTGGGGGGGGGTCTGGGCCTACTCCTCCGACTTTTTTGAGGTGGAGGATGGGCTATTGAATCATCCTCCCCCCACTTGTTGAGGTGGTGGATAGGCTATTGAATCATCCTCCCCCCACTTGTTGAGGTGGTGGATGGGCTATTGAATCCTCCTCCCACACTTGTTGAGGTGGTGGATGTGCTATTGAATCCTCCTCCCACACTTTTTGTCTTGAGTAAAGCATGTAACCAGATTGTGAAGCATTTTTTAGACTTCCAACTACGACAATGCATTATTATCACCAAAAAAAGGGAAAACAATTTTCAAAAGTTATATAATATGTTACAGACCACTTTTTTGTCCTCACCTGTCGGTCCAGACTTTCCAATAAAAGAAATTAACCCCTTCACTTTCTGAAGGTGCAAGCATGCAATGCCACTCCGTTGTGTGTAATTCAATCGTCAACCAAGAAGACAATAAATTTGTTCTATAACGTATTTGGTCCCCACGACGTTGATGTTAAACACAGTGACAAATAAGTGTGGAATTCCGTTCAATCAAGCGTGAAGGCCTAAGGATTAGGCATTCAAGCAAATTTTGCACGTCAAAAGCGTTCGACATCAGACAAAACCTTACCCTTGCCTTGCCTTATTAGTATATTCGAAATATATTGTCTATATTGTCTTTATATATTGTCTTTTTTCCATTCGTACCCCAAAGTTACGAAAGATGGGGAGACGTCGAACTGGATCCCTCGCGAGATGAGCGATACTGCGCAGTTCTAAACTATAACGATGAGACTGGCGGTCACTGGTCGCCAACTTTCTGCTCGCAAAATGTCCGTACAGTTTGTGCCTTGCAGAGTAAGAACCCTCTTTATCCTTACCAAGATATTCTGGGCTTCCGTCTCAAAATGTGACTGTTGCCTTTAGGCCTACGTAGCCAGTCTTGGCCTTACTGCCCGATATTTTTGCCCATGCATATATTTCCACGATACACAAAAACATTTAGTCAGAAGATGTTGAATTAATTATATGTAGTCGAATGCAGTTCCGAAGGAATCAATGCTTGGTTTGAAACACGATTCATTACAGCATCGAACGCAGGTGGAATGGATTAAAAGTAACGTTTGCAGAGATTTGGTAACGAAAGCAGTACTTTCCAGTGAGGGGAAGAGAGAGATATGCAGACAGCACGAGGGTCTTGAAACCAAGACGACAGCATGCCTGAATCTAATCCAAGTTAGAAGTCTTTTTGAATTAACCGCTGTTCCTTTCTCTCTCCAGCTTGCTACGACGGGCCATCCCGTGTTTTGGGGTCATGGGCAGGGCAAAACAGCAGGCAATCCGACGAGGACCACGAATGTCTTGACTTTGGCAGCAAACCGAGATGTTCGTGTGTTTCTGGTGCACTCTGCCGGCTCACGGGCAAGTGTCATTGCGAGGCGCTGTTCCCGGGCATGAAGTGCAACAAAGGTGATGGACAGATCTTTCTTTTTGATTTACGCCCTCTCTCTTTTTGATATCTGTCAAACTGAAACTGTGTACATGTACAGTGCTTTCTTGCAGGCCAAATCGAATTGGATTTGGGGGTAATGGTGTGAGAAGTAGAAGGAACAATCATGTCAATCGGAGAGTTCCTTATATTTCCGGGAAAATTTGGCTTTCCCCAACTTTTGGACACCGATTGTGGTTTGATCGACAGGAATTAGTTACTACCTACTCTATTCGTCGTATACGACGCTGTCGAAATGATTGATCATTAAAGTCGTGTTTGTGTTCATTTTATCCCATATTTATCAAGACGAGATGATGGTGACAATCCATGCTCCCAACCGACTGGAACGTGGAGAGACCGTCACCATGCGCTGCCATGTCAACGTGCCGTCCATCGACATCACGGTGCTTTGGCGAAAGGTCAGCGGTACGGAGATGCTCCCGGAGGGCCGGACTGTCCTACTGGACCGACCTGAGTCAGGAGACTACGATCTAACTATAGAGAAAGTTCAGGAGAATGACACAGGGTCTTACGTGTGCGTCGCCACCACCGTCATAGGTCAGATCGGCACGTCGAAGATGGACAGTACCTATCTTCACGTTGTAGGTTAGTGACAAAATCTCGCAAAAGCAAGCCCATTTTGTGAATTCGTAACATTTTTTGGGACAATTTCCTAACACAATGTGTTTATTCTAACCAAGATGTCGCTGCCATGAAGCCTATGTCGTGCAGTTGTGTACTAAATACACCCATTAATTTGGAGAACAAATACATTTACACACGGCACTGGATCAAATTTGTTTCATCCAAAACAAGGTTTCCAAATTCATGAACGTCTACATTTTTGCAAAGAAAAAACATCACATTCGTATAAAGCGTCGATTCCAATGTCCATTTACATCGATCAGTTATTTTAACTGTTGTGCAAAAGTGTAAGTTTCAACCAGGATAATTAACGATGTAACATTAGAAAGTCACTTCCAAATTGAGAATTGATGTTTTTGTGTTTCATAGTTCCAAATACCGTAACACCCAAACCGCCACGCAAGGTTTCTGAAGGTAAGTGAGCTCGTTCAGTTTTGCTTAAAGACCAACTCCAACGATGTTGATTTTTTTTTTCATATTGAATCCTATTCAAGTCTAATAAAATTGGCACATATCAATATCTCCCTTGCAACACACATTTTTATGTTAATAAAACACAGTTTTTGTACCTATTTTTCCTGGGAGTCCAGTCTGCAGTTATAAAAATGGACGTGTCGTCACCACTCATTAGCATCTAATGAATTGATTTCTGTGACGTATAGAAGAGAGGAAATACACGTACCACCGTGCGCGCGCTATATGCATGCATAGCATGCATAGCTGCAGACGACAGCACGAACTTACAGACGCAATACAGACATAATTTGGTAATGAATATATAATTTATTAAACACTAAACGCAATAAGAGTTTTTTTTAGATTTTTAAAATAGTTGGAGTTGGTATTTAAATGTCATTAGAAAGGGCATAAATATTAACGACTTAAAATTGTCCGATTTCGTTTATAGGAAGAAATAACTATGAATGGCATTAAGAACAAAAACTATCTGGAAGGCAAATAGCGCCTTGACATTTATTTTCAAGAGAATTTCAAAAGGTGTAATACAACTTGATCTGTTGGATCCTGTTGGCTTCACCATTCATTGATCACAGTTGTTGGATGTAAACGTTGTTACAATCTTTTTGTGACAGGAAATGAGCAGGGAGTTTCGCCCAAGGAAAAAGGTAAAGATTCTAAGAAAGAAAGTATGATTTGATGGCAAGAAGATTTTATCATGCACACAAAGTTAATGCATACTTCCTTAATTGGAACTTGTCATGCGTAAGATATTTACCGAGGCCAGAAGTTGTCTCCTTGTGTGCTACAACCCCCCCCCCCGAAGCTCACACCCAGAATGCCAACTCACATAAGTATAGGAATGTGACGCTACATAGGATTCGTTCTAGGACAAGGGTTCCGTGGCAGACTGATTTGAAGTAATTTTCGAATTTCGACGACAGACTTGACTTCGAGTCCACTAGGGGCGAAACAAGTAAGTTTGCTATCTCCAAGAGTTTCCTTTTTCAATTTACCCATTTTTTCCTAAAGGTTTGATCTTTGCGGTAGCCGCTCTCGGCGTCTGCTTTGTGTGCTTACTGGCTGCCTTCATCATTGTCAAGGTAGGTTTCAAATTTCAACGTTCGTTTACTTAAGCTTGGCCTTGACTTGAACCTCAAGGTGGATGTCTTAAAATCCATTCATATTGCAGCTATGCATGGTATTGATACACATCGATGCTTTAGTCTTCTGTCTGCATTCGTCATCCCCGTTCTGTCTGGACTAGTTAACGTGTTTCGTGGAAGAGATTGAATCGAGCCTGATTTTTAAAAACGTGACTAGAAATTCGTCTCTTTTTGGAAACGCATCGGCCTCAAATTGCTGCACAAGATCAAAATTAACTCTTGGCTAAATTGTATGCAAAGAAATGGGTAAACGTTCATTGCACACGGATGAACGTAAAGCTTTCCTCTGTATCAAAGTTTTACATTGCAATGCACTGGGAACATAACGCTTCAAAGGTTAACATTCACAGTGAAGGAGGTGAGATTTTGTTTGAGCAAAAGGGAAAAGATGCAAAATGCTCATAAACAGATCGCGTTTTTCAAACTTTCCTTAAAACCCATTGCTTTCAGCATCTTGCAGGGAGACATTGAAGCTCTGCCTGGAGCTCATGTGCTGCGCCCTCAACGTTCTCTGTTTTTACACACAGGTTCGTCAAGAAACTACTCTTCGACGCACTCGGCGCTCCAGTGATGTGCTGATGTGAGCGCCTAATGAATGTCTTGGCTCAAGTCTGATTGTTAACGTGTTCATGCAGATTTCATGCAGCTTCTTGATGGCGTACGGTTTAGTTGCTTCGGAGAATCTAATCCATCCCAGTCTTGGTCCATTGGGAAAGTTGTAGACAGACTGGAGGAACATTTTTATAAGTATATATTTTTGGATATTATTTGAAGAGGGGGTGAAAGTGGGTGCCGGTCTGGGCACTTTTCTACCCGGAATCACGGTTGTTGATCAGTAGGGGCTGAGTGCGAGTGTGGGGCTGGAGGTGAGATGGGATGGAGGTTGAATGGGGATTGGGAATGATTACGGGATGGTGGGGACTGAGATGCCGAATCGCCTTGTAAAGCATAAATATCACTTATTCTTTCTCATTCGTGGGTCTTAGATCAATAAATACGTGTGTATTTGAAAGTCTTGAAATGACAGTCGTGCTTAATTCACTTTGTTGCATGCTTTTCAATTTTTGTTCACCATCTAGAAGTAATGTTTAGGAGAGCCGTATGGGTGGGTGTCTGTTCAAATCGTTCTCCACTCACTCTCTCTGTCTCTAATTCTGAATTCAAGGGTACTTTTGGGGTGTGGCGGGTTGTTAAAAACCTAAAGCTGAAAAATCGAAAGAAAGTTGTCGCCGAGGTTGCAATCAGCATTGCTTTTAACCAGCACTAACATTGTTTATTGTTAATTAATTATTGGTGATCCATGATGGATGCTGCTGAAAACTCCATCGTTGCTGCGACGTTGAATGCAATGTCAAACGCCGCAAGGTTAATATGACTGAGGGAAAACCACACCCACTGATTTCATTTTTTTGGTTTTATTTTGATGTCTAATGATTTAGATAAATAAACAAAGTAACCAAAAACTTCCAAGTTTTGGAAAAGAAAGAACTGTTGTGCTGTGTCGCTTAGTTTGCAGGTCTACGCACACTTACCAGTGTCAGTCCTCATATGCTGCAATCAGCCTTCGCTAGTTCCAAAGGCAAATGCATTTCACAGAATTTTGTGAACGAAATGCAGCTACAGCTACAAACGTAAGCACTGTGGCTTACTCTCTTTCTAACTCCCTGCACGATGTACAATGTAATGCCCACTTGTCAAGACTAGCAGAAGTGTTCACACGTGTTGTTTTATTATAGCACTACTATCTAGTGAGTGCTTGGCAAGAACTGCGTCATATATTCTAAAGCAGTTGCCCTTCCCGGCGCCTTAAAATCTAAAACCTGGGGAGGGGGGGGTAAAAACCCATGGAAAAAAACCCTTGCAAATAACAAGAATAAGTTGCCATGATGAAGTAGTGTTTGCCTGTCGGACTGCAGATAGCACATTCTTGCTACACCCTGAGACTCATAGAAAAGCACCTCCGCGACGCGGAGTGATACATTCCACAGTAAGAACTACCCCGCTCAACCGAACGAAATTACATTTTTACCGGGAAACGGTAAAAAGAAAGTAGTACTGCTTTAACTTTGGCCCAAAGGCGATGTTAGTCAGTAACTGGCACAGGAATCATTTTTGTCCGGTTCTATTTCCGTGTCCCCAAGGCACCACTTGGTACGGTATCCACGAAGGGTGTGTGGGTGTCTCTTCGACGTACTAGACAATAATAACGGGTCATGTTTGCACGTCTGGTCTTCACTACACAAGGCCCTAACCGGCAGCGCTGCCCCATTTAAAAACCCCTCACAAACCCAAGTGCTTAATTAAGGAACGCCAGTGTCCGACAATGCAATTGTTGAATATATTCGTCTATTTATCGCCCTTTCTCTGGATGTCACACCGTGATGTTACTTCGCAGTGGTGATATTTAGGCCACAGGGGCGGATCCAGGATTTTTTTTGGGGGGGGTCGAATTTTTTTCTTCAGGGGAGAATAATTAACATTTGTTGACCGCTGTGGTGTGGGATATGACGTTTTGAACACCCCAGCGAGAGACGCATTTCGCCTTCGGCTCCGCCTCTGGGCGCTATATGCGTGCATGAGGGTGGTCAAAATTTCACATCCCACACCAAAGCGGTCAACAATTGTTTTGTCATACCTCTGCCTTAATTTCAGAAAACGATAGGCCTACTGTCAAACTGTATAATTAACCTAACGGACGCAAACGACGATCGTCTGCAAGTACCAGTGAGTATATGTAGTCTGGTTGGCGGTTCCCGCATTTATTATACGCTGCTGGGACGGGAACGAGTCTGTTTTACGAGCACGATCATTGATAGAATTCCCCGGTAGCCTATGCGAAAAACGTATCATGCGTATCACGCTAACTGACTAAAGGAGCGGAAATGCTCGTCCCCGAACTCTCTGAAGCTCTTCTGTCTCGCACGCGTTCACGCACAGTCGGCAGAAAGAGATATCTCACGGTGAGTGTGATATGCAGATATACAGCCCCGTCATGTTATCGTTCTGGGCCAATAAACGGACAGTATCCAAGACAGATATATGACAATCGGACACATAGCGCCCTCGGCTTCGCCTCGAGGCGATATGCGTCCCTCGGGTGTTCAAAATGTCATATCCCACATCACAGCGGTCAACAATTGTCGTCGTTGTTGAAGCCATTTTATCTTTTAATCGCAAATAAGACCCCTAACATGGTCAATGCGTGCAGGGGGACTTGCAACCTTTAGACTTTGGCCACTTAAAAAAAAATGGGGCGGGGGTTGACCCCAATCCCTTCTGGATCCGAAGCCGGGCCGCCCATGCGTAGTAGGCTTTGAAAAAGGTCTATAAAGGCGTTCGGGGGAGGAAGGGGCTATGTGACACCCCTCCCCACCGCTCTTGCCTGCAAGTGTTGGGGAAAATATCTGGCTATATGTTCTTTTGTTTTCGTAGTCCGTTGGGGAAATAATTGGTAGCACCCCACAAACCTCAGCAAACTCGAACTTACCAGCTACGTGACCCAACGCGACAGTTAAAATGTTAACAATACATACCAGAGATACGTCATTGTGGTTATTCTTTTTCAATGGTTTCAATCCTATTGATAGATCTTTAATACCTGCTGTATGCATTTAACTCGTGCGGTATCTATCGACATCAGTAGTTCATCCAACCACGTACCTGAGCACAAGTACGGTTTGGTGTGCATGGAAAGTAAGGTGTGTGGTCCTTTTTAATTCGGGACTGAAATGCACACTTTCATGGTCTCTTTGCTAAGTCCATAAGAAAGAACCAATGAATCAATGAGAGGCATGTTACTCGACGATCTGGCCTTTTCTTCACGTTCAACAGCACAAAAAAGGACACACTGAAAGAGAGTGGTGGTTCTTTGGAAAGGAAGCAACGGGAACAATTCCGAAAGAAGCGTTATCACACAGGAAACAAAGCATTGCCTCCATCCGATTGTTCACGGGGACTGACAACTTATTCTGGTTTCCTTTCTCGCGCTAAATTGTGACGCAAGTAATTGTAGATCGGTTATTTTTTTTCCTAACTGCACAAACAGCGAGAAACCTTGATATCTCTTTCCTGTTACTGAAGTAGCATCGACAACCCTCACAAGTGTTGATGTTGAAGAAAGGTACAGACGGAATTACAGTGTCTCTGACGCCGGGTCGCCTCCGTGACTAAATGAGTCTATACTGGATTGGACTGGCACATTTTCTTGCCAGCCTCGGTAGGTGTGCTCTCCTGCTTGTTCGACTCACGGGGTAATACGTTGTGGACATGAGGGGTGAAGTGTAGAGTGGTTGCATGGTGCCGACGATATGCTGAGCCATGCCTTTGCTTCATAATGAAGTGTTCGAGTACAAGCCGGTGGTTCCATGGACAGGTTACATTACACGTTACAGTCAATTACACGCAATCCGAATTCAGTCACACTGGGTCAAGAATAATTACAAGAATAAGACTAAGACGGAATATGGCCCTAAACAATATTATACGACCGCGATAAAATGTTACCCAAAGGCTTTTCTTATCAAAATGGAAGGCAGTTTCTCATTTTGTGTTTAATGAGTAAAATGGAAAACGGAAGATTCTTTATGGGGGTGAATTAGATGAATGTTGAAAGTACATAGGCCTAAACCAACAATACCGAGTACAAAATTATGCTTGGATAAGTCCCTTACCCTCATATCAGTCAACTGTATAATCACAATAAACAACCTGTTTACTCTGCAATTAACATTCAACTGTTGTTGTTTTTTTTTCAAGTGGAGGGACGCGTCTGCCGGCAACGACTCGGAATGGAGGACGGTAGCATTCCCGATTCCAGAATCACAGCCTCAAGTGTCTACCACAATTAAATCAACGCACCCGGCAACTGCAGGGCCGCAAACGGCCGGCTGAACAACCCAGGAGGCGGCGGGATAGCTGACGGTTGGTGTCCGGCCCGGACTGACAAGTATACGTCATGGTTGGGGGTCGATTTGGGAGAGCAACTGCAGGTGGAAGGGGTCATCATACAGGGCAGCGCAATGCCTTTCTACATTGGATTGGACGAGTGACCCGATTCAGAGTGCAGTACAGTGATGACGGGATTGATTGGCTGTATGTGACCCGTAGTGAAGATCCTGGGAGTGTGCCGAAGGTAAACGGTCATTTTCCTTATCCGAAAAAATGGTAAAGTTACTCTTGAAAAATCTTTCTGCCTTTCTTGATTTGGAAAGATCAATAATACAGACAGAGACAAAAAAAAGAATAATTAGGTCTACATACATAAAAAGCGTCTTGTGAATTGATTTCGATACGGACGATTCACAATAGCGCGCTACCAAAAGTTTGCAACGCGTTGGCCAGTCCCAACGCGAAAAATTTGTCGACCCTTTCCAAATGCGCATTTGGTCGAAAAATTTCGCGCATTGTGATTGGCCAACGCGTTGCAAACTCTTGGTGGTGCACTATTGTGAATCCGCTCGTGTTGAATTCAATTTGAGATAGCCATTACAGTATTTACGATAAACAGATAAAGTGATTATGGAGCAAACACCATTACAGTGAAAGAAAAAACTCAATATTTACTCATATAAGCCGTATCACATCTAGATAATGCTTTGATCAGATTGATCGCAAACGAGAACAAAACAATCAAAATATTAAAATCGGTCCCAAATGTGAAGTCCTTTGTTGAAACCATGATCTTTTTTGTTTGGACTCCATCGGTGTCATTCTAACACCATGGGTCGTTTTATCAGACGATTTCTCTGCTGAATGTAAAGGATGCCTCCTTAAAAGGATAGGGCAAAGGGAAAAGATATTAGAAGTATTATCTCCAACAGTTCAAAGACTTCGAAACAGAGTTGTAACGAGTCATTATTTTTTTCTGACTCGTGTCCAGTCGAGGCATTGCAACGAAGTGACTGGAGTGTAGTCGAGTAATCAGGCAAAAAGTCAAGTATTTTTAGCTTAAATCAATTCGAGTTGCCAATGTCTGAACACAAAACTATAAATAAAAACACGAGAGGAATTTTTTCGCAATTTAAAAATATATCTGAGTTTCTACATGTGGTCACATCATATTTTACTCTTGATCTTAACACATGACATGAACATTTATAGAAACCGACACTGTAAGTCACTGAAAATCTTTGCAGACGTTTGCTTTCATGTTTTAGACTCGAGTCAGGTCCTCTCATGAGAGCTAGACTCGAGTCAAGTCATTTGGTCGCAGTGACTCGAGTCGAGTCATAATATCCATCGGGAGTCGAGTCGCCAAAAATTATGACTGGCGTCACACTCCAGTCGAGCATTACAACTCTGCCACGGAAATGGACCAGTTTTACACTTTCAGCAGCTGCCTTCTTTTGATGTTCTCGACAGATTTAATTGATTGGGCAATGTCACAGTGGTTCACTCAGCGATACTAATCTAGGTAGCCTATATGAAAAGACCCAGGGTTATTGTGTGCAATTCGACGATGTGGTGTCTGTGGTGGATTTAAACAAACTTCTTGCTTCTCCTTTTTGACAGACATTTGAAGGCAGCGAAGACATACCCACACCTGTTACCACCATTTTTGACAGGCCGATTCAAGCTCGTTACATCCGCGTCAGACCAACCCAGTACTACACATACCCAACGATGCGGATTGAGCTCATCGGCTGCAGAGGCAAGGACGATTCTTATTCTGTAGATTGTCTTTCAATAACGTCATACTAGATCGCTTTTTGTCTGGGTTCTTACCGCTTCGTGGTAAAACGAAGTCCGTTCTATAAAATTTCAAGCATTTCGAAGAGATCATTGAATTGCTGAATTTGGAGTAGGCCAAGTTTGTAGATTGGGCTGGTGTTCATGGCTGGTGTCTGACTTTCCACGTAGGCCTCTGTGGGACACAAAATCACGGCCGACAATATATTGGTCTAATAGCAACTTGCCTGACGTGGTGTACCCCGCAGGGGGAGGGTGGCGTTGGAAGGCAAGTAATGTTTGGATTTAATTTTTCCTGTTATCTTTGAATGTGTGAGTTAACCGAATTAAATCCTCTTTAATTGGAACTGTACATTTACCTCAAACCAATTATTTAAATTTGATGTAATTCTTTCGAAACGGCTGGAGAGCAGTCACTTACATGGGAGTTACCCTGAAAGGAAAAAAACCTACGCGACACTTGAATTAACGTTTGACAGACGCAAGTAACTTTCTCCGATGGTGACTGTTACACACACACGTGCACTTCACTTGTTACCGCTTAATATGGACGACAGATCTGTTGAAATATCGACGTGTCGGGAATCAAGAATGCTGTAGGGACACTTTTTTCCCACGACGCAGATTTGAATTTTGCAACAAAAGAAACAGCTCCTATCGCGAGGAGAAAGCCTTCCAACACACACGCACGCGAGATGCTCTGTGTCGCTGACCGACACTACTTCCACTATACGGATTGATAGATTTCCCTTGCATAACCTCCATTTTAACTCTTGTGAGAGGCATCAGGAGGTACGAGGCTCCAGCACGGCCATGTCATTATGACATTGATCTTTAAAGGCCTATAAGAAAGAGTTTCGGATTTGGGAAAGGGAAATCCCAAGGAGGAACTCCGAAAGTAGTAGGGAAGGGACAGTTCTGGACCAAACGCCCCTTTTTACCCGGTTTTTGCTCAAAACCATTGGGTAGTACATCGACTCAAAAAATCGCCGAAACCTTTTTGGTGGGAAAAAATGGGAAAATCCAGAAATGACGTGAACCCCGTTTTTGCTCAAAACCCTTGGGTAGTACATCGACCCAAAAAACGGGGGGATTCCCACTCACCTTTTGACCCCGGCTGTAAACAACTCGTGACTAGCACCGGGGATTTCCACTTCACTGACCTTGAACTTTTGACCCTGGCTGTAGACAACTCGTGACTTGGCAATCACTTGCAAACAAGTCGAGACTTGCCCATCATAAAAAACGGAAAAATAAACAAACAATACTAAAAATACATT